TTCCCAAGTCTGGGTTAGGCCTGGAGAAATACCGATTTATTCAATCTGAGGGTGAGGCCTAGACAGGGTTAGTTTGTAAAAACTTCTCCGGTGACTGAAATTCATGGTCAGTTTGAGAGCTAGTGAGCACCTCATTAAGGGAAGTACAAGGTGGGGTGAGAAATACTGGGAAAATAAAACTTTGGTTAATATTTCAGACTATTATGCAATCATACTCAAATACCAGAGGATGGAAAAGTCCTTGAAAATGAGTTTGAGTGTCAGTGTAAAAGGTTAGGAAAAAACCTTACGCACCACAGACATCTGGTAATTTTTTTCTTTTAGGGGGCCCAAGATATCTGAACACTTAACAAGCCCTGGCAGGGTATTTGGAAATTCTTGTTTTCCAACTTACATATTTCAGTTACCTTACTTTTTTTTTCCTGAAGTCCAACAGCCAATTAGGACCAAACCAGCTCAGACTCTCACAGGAAGGAGATGGTCTGCCTCGACTTCCACGGTTCACAGGTACCTGAGCACCAATAAAAGCCTCACGTCTGCTAAATAGGCAAAGATACTGATCAAAATCTGAAGAGCTTCTGGGTGGGCACAATGTGACCTTTAGTTCAGTGCCGGAAGAAGGAAAAGGCTTGACCCCTGTGCACAAGGCCACACCCAGCTTCTCTTTCTGGAAAGGCCCCCGAGAGCTACCTTAAACTCTCAGTAGGTCCTCAGGAGAGGCCAAGGTCTTGCTCTTTGGGTGAAGGATTCAAGCACGCAACGCTCCCGCTCAGAATGAATAGCCCAACTTTAAAGCGTATTACTTGGGCAATAAAGTCTCACGATCAGAAAAGACAGCAGCATTCAGTTAGAAGCAGACGTACAGGATGTGAGCTCTGGAATTGGATCCAAACACCAACTGCACCATGCGCCAGTTGTGTGACACCGAGCAAGTTGCTACACCAACCCTCTCTGTGCCTCACTGGCCAGATATAAATCCAGGATAATAACAGAATCTTCTTAGAAGAGTTTTTATGAGGATTGAGTGCAGAAATATTCATAAAAGCCCTCATATGGAAATGCTAGTTAATACGATTTCTTATTTAATTACATGGATGAATCCCTTCTATGGCATGCCTAAGAAATGGTGTAGATCCCCATAAAAAGTGGTAAGTGGCACGGCAGGAGTAGAATGCCAAGAGAGTGGAAAAGACAAAGAGGGGGCCGTGAAATGTTTTCCACCGTGAGCACTGCTGTCCAGCAGTAAAAGTGGCCTCCATGACCCCGTAAGTGTTGGACAGCCCCCACTCGGCACATTATACAGAGATCGTTGTTTTTAAGTCTACGTTAGGGCAGGAATTTGGTTGCATTCATCTTTGTACCTCCAGCACCGAGCTCCTCATATGTGCTGAGTGCTTAGATGCTGAGCTGAGCTGCAGTGCTCCCACCTGCAGGGCGTGCGTTCAGAGACCCCCCAGTGGACGCCTGAAAGCTCGGATAGTACTGAACCTTATATACTATGCTTTTTCCTACACATACGCCACTATGATAAAGTTTAATTCATAAATTAGACACTCTAAAAGATTAACAACAACAACTAATAATAAAATAGAACAGTTATAACAATATGCCATGGTAAAAGTTTTGCAACAAATTTGAAAACTTTGCCAGGAATGTCTGCTGTAAAAATAAATAAATAAATAAATAAATAAATAAATCTGAGAACTTTCCACTTTTCACTTAAAGGACGCACTTTACAGCTCCTTTCTGGCATATCCAGATTGCCAGCATCACTGCTCTTGTGCTTCCCTCAGGTGAAAGAGGGTGACCTGAACAACAGCACAGCAATACCACGACAGTCGCTCTGGGAACGGATGGCTAAGTCCCTAAAGGGAGGGTAGTGTGGACAGCACGGAGATGGGGGACAAATCCACTTGCAGGCGGAACAGCGCAAGATTTCATCACACTAGTCAGAACAGCACACGGGTTAGAACTTACGAATTGCGTATTTCTGGCATTTTCCACTGAATATGTTCGGACTGCTATTGACCACAGGTAACTGAAACTGCAAAAAGTGAAACCCCGGATAAGGGGGGGACTACTGCAATCCTCTTGTCTTCCCTTTGCAGTGACCTGGCACTGCTCTAAACTTGGGGGGAAATCGAGAAGGGTTGAGAGGAGCAGGCTGGGGCAGAGAACGTCTCTCTCCTGTCTGGGGACTGACGGGGGCCCCAGCCAGCCCCTCTCACAGCCTGTGCTTGCCCGTCTCCAGGCAGGCTGGAGGGCTCCTGCTGGCCTCCAGGCCCCTCTCTGAGGTGTCCAGAACCCTCACTTCCAGAAGACTTCGCTCGTGCTCACGCTCCCTCTCCTCCTCAATGGTCTCGGGAAGCCAAAAAGTCCTTTCTTCAAAAGGTGGCGCCGAGGACTGAGTGGAGCGTCGCCAAGAGTTCCACACCGCATGTAAAACAGCTCCAGCTTCTGTGTAATTACAAACTTAATGATACGTAAAATTCACTATTTAAAGTAAGAAAAATGGTTTTGAAAATCTTCAAATCTTAGTCACAGGGTAAAATATACACCATGTGAAAAGAATAATGTGACAATAGGTACAATGGGAGTTAAGAATTATTATTATTACTCCAACATGATTTCTTTACTTTTCTGCTCACCCTGGCAATCTAGAGTTCTCCCCTGCTTCACACAAACCTCCCCCAGAAACAGTGTTTGCACACTGCCAGGCAGTACCCGACAGCCCAACCTCGAGTCCAACAAGAGTCATGGAGACAAACTGTGCCAAAAGCGTATTAGTCATAATTAGTTTAAGAAACAAAACAAATGCCCACATACGTATTAACTTATACCTCACCCTTTACCTGAGAGCTGCCTTCTGGGAACATGGAGAGATTCTGAAGCATCATCTTATTGGATGTGCAGCTTCATAGCCTGGCCTTGGTCACATTGCTAAGGGACCCTGCCAGGTTAGGGGACCGCAGGCCCTCTGGTGCAATGCTCAGAACCCATTTTGGCACTGCTGTACGTGAGTTAGCCTCATGGTCTTTCTTATAGAATAGGAAAAATAAAGGAGAATGAGAAAGAACATTAAGAGAACATTAGAATGAGACTTCTGATCATTTGTAAAAACCTGCCATTGCTTAGTGTTACAGTTAGCTATTGCTGAGTAATAAATCAGCCCAAACTTTGTAGCATTAAACTGCAACAATTTTCATAAGGAGGAAGAAGAGGAGGAAAATCTCTGATGTTTCTATGGGTTGACTGGGCTCAGCTAGGCGGTTCTCATGCAGGGTCTCTCATGAGGTCACTGTAGGATGGGGACTGGTCTGGGCTCTTTTCCAAGGCTTCCTCACTCCCTGGCAGCTGATGCCAGCTGTTACCCAGGAGCTCAGTCTGGCCAGCACATGGCTCTCCAGGTGTCCTGGGCTTCCTCCCAGCAGGGCAGCTGGGTTCCAAGAGCAAGCATCCCAGGAGACAGAGCCAGGAAAATACTCTGTCACCATTTATGGCCAGCCTCTGCAGTCATGCTATGCCATTTTTACCACATTCTATTAATTGGGAGCAAGGGAAAGCGAATTAGATTCTTGATGAGAGGAGTGCAAAGAACAGGCCAACATGTTTTGAAACCACCACAATTAGTGTCATCCACTTTTCCCTCTTTGTATCTCTCAAAACCATGACTAAGCATTGAAAAACAAACCTCCCCAAACATCAAAAACAGATGTCTCTGCTTCTTCTTGCTCTGACAATCAACCCCTTCTCCTTAGCAGCCTCTGGAGGAGCAGAGCACCTCTGACACCTGCTCCTCCTCCCTGTCTGTGTGCATTCTAAATACATGCTCTTGTGGGCTCTCCTGGGTCTAGATGACTCCCCGCGAGGAAACCCTAGGCCCATGTTCACAACAGGGATACTTGGCAGAGATTGATTTTATTTTCTTCCAAATCTCCTCCCTGTTCAACCGTAATGCCATTACTAGTAGCCGCTGGCTGGTGTCACCTTTGGATTCTTCACACCCTGTCAATTGCCGACACCAGACCGGTCTCCCATGTACCAGTGGCCTCCTTCCTGTCACCTTCAGTATCACCCAGATTCCTCCCCCTCTGTCTCTAGCCTGCCACCTTCTACATGGCTGGCCATCTCATCACTGCCCTTTGGATTTAATGACCAGAATATCTTTCACAAACGTTGCATGCCTTCCCAGTGCTGCCAAGACAGCTCAAGTTTCTGAAAGCATTGCACCCAGATTTCTGGTCATAGATTTCAAAGCCTTGATCACCACACATAGACATAAATACACTCTCCCGTTCTGAAGTAACTGCGTGCCTCCACCAACGCTCTCCTGTGTACAGCCATGTTCAGGAACAACTTTTGGTTGTCCTGTTCCCAAATGCACACTCCCATTGAGTGTGTCCCCAAACCCACACTCCTCTGCAATTCAGCCACATTTTTCTCACCTACCAGATCGCTTTAATGTGGTTAGGACAGGAAGAACACAGGACTTAAAAAGGAGAGGCCCAAGTTCAAGTGTTGCAAACCTCAAGATATTCAATAGAAGTATTTGGAAAAAGTGAAATTTACATTATGACAATGATGACCTTTTTTCATCTTTTAAAAATTCTGCTCAAGTTTCACTGACCTTGTGACTCTTCCGTGGGCAAGCAAAAGAAGCTCCAGTTGTGTTCCTACCCATGACAGCCTTCCCTGAGAGCTGGTGGCTGTGAACATCAGCAGCTCTTCCTTTGCTGAAGGGGGGGCAGCAAAGACCTTGCCAAGAGTTACCGCCCTCTTTGCAGAACCTGTAGTCGTCACAAGGGACTCACGATGTCTAAAGACAACAGGTGTCTCACAGCAGCACACACTAGATACTTCCTCAGAGTGCACGGAGCTGAGGGCTTATCCTAAATCCCACCTGTGCAGCAAAGTGAACTTACAACCAATGATGGGGTCTCAAACTGCACCTGAGAGGGCTTCCCGAAAAGGCTGAGGAGAGTCTCGAGCTCAAGGTGCTCACAAGCCAGAGTGGTATGGACCTACCTGCCTTGCATCTGGCCAACTTAAGTCTTCCAATAAGGTAGCCGCTAAAAGCTGGAAGAGGCGGCATGCACCTGGAGCCCCAGCTCCTCAGGGAGCTGAGGCAGGAGGATCGCTTGAGTCGGGAGTTCAAGGCTGTAGTGCGCTCCGATCACACCTGAGGGCAGCCCCCGCGCTCCAGCCTCGGCAGCACAGTGAGATCCTCTCTCTAAAAAGAAAAAAAGCAGCTAATACATGCATGGTTCTTTGGGAGTTACTACAAAATTTCACATGAATTCTTTTAGTCAGTCCTCACCCCAGTCCAGCAATACACACCAGAATGTATCGACAGGATCTCTACTTTGTAGGCTGTGTCTTACTGCAGCCCGTCTCACCCTTCTGGCCCTGGGAACATCGCCTGCCCACTGCAAGCCTCCGGCGGTTATTAAATGAAAGAACTCAAGTTTTCACACAAGGTGATTTGCATGTTCATGTGGACCGGACCAGCTTTTTAAAAAAAAGCTAGGATTTGGGGACAAACCCCCCAATTAATATGAAAGACATATTTTCTATGCTTCCTTTGTGCACATAACTCCCTAAAGAAGCCTAAAAGGAGGAGGGGCTGATGCTCAGAGAGGGGACTCGGGTGTTCCAGGATCCACTGGCCAAATACCATCGAGTTTGTATCCTAACAACACCCCCAATAGGAACAGGATTCAAACATTGGCATTCCCTGACAAGAATGACTACGCCCAAAGGTGGAAGGAGAATTTGCCCATGGACACCGTGTAGGTGGTCCGGGTCCTTTTGGCTGCACCAGCACCTATTGAACCGGAGCACCTGCGGGGCAGCAGCATCTGTTGAATTCCAGCGACACTGTTGAGGACCTACTCAGGCACTGCTCCAGGGGCTGGGGATACAGAGGTAAACAGAGCAAAAAGCCCTTGCTGCTGGGGAGATGATATAAACAGGGGAGAGGCAGGGCAGGGCTGGGGAGCCAGAGAAGCTGTTCTTCTGTATAGGATGGTCTGGGAGGCCTCTGACAAGGCACCATTTGGGCAGAAGCCTAAACGAAGTTCGGGGAGAGCCATGCAGGTGTGGGCATGCACCATGCAGGCGCGTGGGAGCAGTGTGAGCACACAGGACAGGAACCTGAGCTGGAGGTGGCCTTGCCCTCTCCCACTGCCACCACCATGAACCCCTTCTTCCAGCAGCTCAAAGCTTCAAGACAATGAAGAATTCTTCCTCATTCCATTCTAGGATCCAGTCCTCTTCAAGAGTTGAACACATTCTGCTGATAACTGAAAGTAGATTTTATTCTCTCTTCAAGCCAAAATGCCACCAGGGTGGCTCATGGATTCACAAATGAGTGATGGTAAGAAAAACAGAAAGAGGGGGGAAGAGGAGGGAAAAATACATGGAGGAGAAAAAGAAAAGAGGCGGAGAAGGAACATCCACAGGGAATGCAGACGCCCTGTCTTGAACACACGACGTGTAACCTTGTATCTCCAAACTGCGTCTCATAACAAACCAGTGTGAACACACGCTACGGACATGCCCAAGTGTTACTGCAGTATCTCAGGAGGCAGAAGCAGCAAGGCTACAAGTCTTTGAATTAGCAACCTGTACACTGAGCACCACGTGAACACAGTGTCCAAACATCTTGTTTCAAAACTAATCTATGTAATGATTAAAGCAATCACATCTGTGATACCCATTTGTATAGACTAAATCAAGCAATTTTGCCTGAGTGTCAATAACTTTATCTCTACAAAAGCGCATTTGCTTAACTGATGGCTACCTAATTTAAAAAGGGAGTTCAACATTTCTGGGAAGTATCATGAAAACAGTTTCTTTCTTAAGCTCTTTTAAAAAAATTTCACAATTTAAAAATCTTTCCCTCTTGGCCCATTTTACACATGTATTTACTTATTTCATATGTATTTGTATCTCCCAAGTTATTTTATTTCAAATATACCAAATAAAGCTTGTTTCTTTGGCGTATTTCTAATTCCCAGAGATTAGAAATCTAGACAGATTTTGTAACTAGACAGATTTCCTTCAAAACAGAATCAAAGGTTATTTGAAATTTACAAAAATAAGGAGAAGCTGAATGAATGAATAAATACTAAAGTCTTAATTATTTGATACTAAAGGCTTTCTAAGTGACCCACACAAAAGACTCCTGGCTTTTCGAATACACTTACTCCCATCTTTAACACTAGCCGTCATCCCAGGGTGTGGGGGATTTGGTCTCCCAGAGAGTGCTGAGCCCCCACAAAGCACTTGATGAAGAGGTGCTGACTGATACCTCCCCACCCTCTCTCTGGCTCTACCACCTGCCAAAGAAGTGGTCGTACTGGGTTTTCTGAGTCAGCTATGACTTGGGTAAGGAATTCTTATCACCCAAGGGGTTTTACCTGGAAAGTCTTACATAAAATAATACTGAGACTACAGTCAAAAGTTGCTTGTGATTATTTTTTTCTTGCTATCAACACAAAATTTTTCATTCAAAACTTACAATATTGAATTTAGTGCTTGATCTTGGATTTTTCTGGATACTTTTGCATACAAAGAAGAGAAAATCATCTCCAAGGTATTTTCAAAACATAACTGGCAGCACCAAGTAATTATTAGGTTACCTAGAGAAGTGATCCTAGATGCCAAGAAGAAAAATCTAGATTATTTTTAATGTGAAGATCTGCAACAGCCTAGAATGTGCCACTGAAAATAAATAGGTAGCTCAGTCAATGGTGTCCAGGTTTCAGGTTAAAAATGGAGGAGTCAGCTAGGTGTGGTGGCTCACACCTGTAATCTCAGTACTTTGGTAGGCTGAGGCAAGAAGATTGCTTGAGGCCTGGAGTTCGAGACCAACCTGGGCAACGTGGTGAGACTCTCATCTCTACAAAAAAATAATTTTTTTTTTAATTAGCTGGGCACGGTGGTGCACACCTGTAGTCCCAGCTACTTGGGACCCCTCAAGCCATTGAGCCCAGGAGTTCCAGGTTGCAGTAAGTTATCATTGGGTCACTCCAGCCTGGGTGACAGAACAAGACTCTGTCTCTAAATAAATAAATAAGGAGCTGTTATTGAGCAAATGGGCTCACTGCCCTGATGCGAACAGAAGCTAATACCATGTGGCATCAGCTTTTGAGAAAAGAAACGCTTCATTGCAAAACTGGTCAGCAAGGAGAGAGAAACAAGCTCAAATCCGTGTCCTTGATTTGGGGTCTGGGGCAAATCTCAAAGTTACGGGCTTAGAGGGAAAAGGCAAGGATTTGGGAATGTTGGCTTGGCAGGGTCTAATTGGAAGGCTTTAAATTTACCTGTTTATAGAAAGATCTGTTGAGGTGGATTTTAGCCCTGGGTCTTCCAGGCCAACAGACCTCTCACCTGTTAGGGAGTGCTGGCATTCAAGTTGCAGTCATGTTCCAGTCCTCTTACTTACAAGGCGAGATTTGTTAGTTCCGCATATGCATGCTGGGCCACATGACTGGCAGTTTTTGGCTTTGCTATACCCACAAGGGAACATGACATTATGTTATCAGTAGAGTAGACCCGGTTTGGCAGGTCCTGCACTTACAGTGATTTGTTTGCTCTTTGAAACAAACAAACTCAATGAAAAAATGAGTTTAATAGATCTTTAATGAAGCTAAACCTATGTCATGATTTTGAGACGTATTTAAGGAAGAAGAACTGCAAAGAGCAGCAAAAATGAATTGGTCACTGCACGGAGGTGTGCTGGAATCATTTAACACGATGTGTTCACCAGACTCCTTTCCTTTGTCTGCTTTGCACAAACCCCACTGCATCCCCAGCCCCTAGCAGCTGGCTTTGGCATGCTGCTGAGTTTTGACCCACAGAATGTGAAGGGGAATGTGCTACTTCTGGATGAAGTGCTTTTTTTCGAAGGTGCACCTTCCTCATAGCATGGCTTAGGAAACAAAGGAAGGGGTACAAATGGCCCCTTTCAATTTTCTACCTGATTCCTTATTGGGAAAATTAATTTTTTCACCCAAATCTTGGGATAAAAACGTTTGGAAGTCCTAATGGTCAAAGGAAAAAGTTCTACCAGGGAACACAGTTTGGGTTCTGTTCAATTAAAAGCTGAGACTATTCCTTGGCCATTCCAATTTTTTTACACCTTTGACATGACAAACAGAGGGAGGGTCTCTGTACTGACAAGGTGTCGGGGAGACACTGGGACACTACATCCAATAGACGTGAACAGCACTAGGTCTGGGACCCAGGCTGTTGGCTGCAGTAACTCTGACGCTTTCTGCTCTAATACTTCTGGTCATCCTTAATCGAAAAGTGGGCATCCTTAATCCAAAAATTCAAAATTTTTGAGTGTCAACAGGATAACACAAGTGGAAAATTCCACGCCTGACCACAGTTAAAATGCAGGTGCTCAGCACAGTTTACTCGGCATTGCCTGGGGTCCTGGTGATACTGCTGTGCCGCCTAGTTACCCTCAACACATTGTTTGTTCATGGTACTCATGGTGTGGCCTACTTTTTACTCTTAAGTACTTATGTGTGAATAAGTGTAAGATAAATATTGCTTATCAGTAACATGTAAATTCAGAGTCAGGATTGATGAGGATGTCAACCACAGATTGTTCACATGGCTGACATAGTGACGCTTTTGCTTTCTGATAGTTCAATGTACACAGTTTCCTGCACAAAATTATTAAGAGTATTATATAAAATTGCCTTCAGGATATGTGTATAAGGTGTATATGAAACATAAATGAATTCCATGTTTAGACTTGGGTCTCACCCCCAAGATATTTCATTATGTATATGGAAATATATCAAAAGCTGAAAAAATGCAAAATTCAAAACACTTCTGGTTCCAAGCGTTTTGGATAAGGGATACTGTGATGTAATGACCTGTAATATAATAAAAATATAAAAATAAAACCACCAAGGTGTGAGATCACACACAGATGGAAGTTCAAGTCATCCCACCAGGTCCAGGGTACTGCGCAGCTGAGATGCTGGCAGAAAATAAGGAGAACATGCACTGACTGATGCTCTTCAGTCCTTCCCTCTCTGCTCTGCTGCCATTCTCTCCCGCCCTGGGAGAACTATTAGCACCCAAGAAGCTTTACCCGGAAAGTCTGACATGCTGGCCCATGTCAAACACTGCTAATGCTCAGTAAATACCTATGTGTGCTCTGCACAGTGACCAATAACCTACCTAATCTAACCTTATGATCATGGGATATAATCAAAGTGGATAGCACCTGTTTCAAATTTTTCCTCTACTATTTTAAAAATGAGTTCATATATGGCATCAATAAGTTAAGTAAGAAAAACCACATCATCAACTCAAAACTCAATGGTTATTGAAACGGGGCTTAAAGCCTTTTGATTCTATCTACTTCTGGGAATTTATAGAATCTATGGAAATCCACGGAATTTATGGAAATCACAAATAGAGACAGAGTGTGTTTCCTGGATCGTATAGCAAACACACCTTAGAACAATGCATTCACTTCCAGGGGTGCCCTTTTGGAAGACACTTTCATGACCCTACTTTCCTTCTATGCCCACAGAGTAAATCTGAGGTTGAGTCTTCCTGTGTTTCCAATGGTGAAGCTCCCAGTGAGTGCTCAGGCCCACAAATGATTTATTCAAAATCAACCACAACATTGGTGTCAGAGCCAGAGGTCGGCTAAAATCTCTTCTGAGTTCTTATCATCACTTGAATTCCAAATCTTTAGGTTGATTTCTCCCACTGTGAGGATTTTCTGTGCCAAACCACAGACTTGCAGGTTTGTGGATCTCTGTTTAGCAGGACTTGTCTCCTCCACTCAAAATACAACACAATGGATCCCTATCACATTAGAACTGCAATGCATTCTGTTTCCCTATGAAAAAATTATTATGCTCAATAAATTTATCCTCCAAAGTAAGGTTCGGTTTGGTATTTGAAGACATATTAGAGCCATGATTAAAGTGGCAATCAAAAGAAATACTAAATGAAGCAGATAACTTTAAAATTGCTTAATACCATGTTCATGTTGAACTCTAAGTATTTGCTGTCAACTAAAGATGAATTCATTAGTATTGTATTTTATAGAATATCAGCATGTTTCCTTGTTCTCTCTTTACCGAGTCTTGCCTTATCCTGACCTGTTATTCAAAATAAACCAGAGCATTCTTCTAAAAGCCACAAATCTGATCTCAATACTTCCTCTTTTTAACCTTTCAATGGTCCTATTGTCCTTCGTCCTATGAGTGGAGCACAAATTCCCCCAACACAGCTCCCGAGTTCCCAAACTGGCCTCCTGTCTTCCTCTCCAGTCATATCGGCTGCCCTGTGACCCCTCATGTGCTATGTCCTGCCCGGCAAGGGCTCTCAAAAAGGCACTACTACCTCCTGCGTGCCACCTTCGCAAGTGCCTTTCTGCTGTAGAAACTGTTAGTGCTCACCACAGACCCATGACTTCCTCTCCACTTCCCAGGCTGTATGGATCTAGGAAAGGCAGGTGATTAATTTTCACCAGTGATGAAATCACTGTGAGTGATTGGAAATGTGATGAGTCATCTCCAACCCAAGGAGGTAAGAGCAAGTGTGAGATTTCCAGAATCTCAGTCTCTCTCCCTCACATCTGTGCCCCTGGAAGTAAAGGGCTGCAGAATCACGGAATGGAAGCGGCCTGAGCCCAGAGTCACCAATTGGAAGAATGTCATGTGAGAGCTGCCTCATCCATCTTTGACTTGATATGAGTGAAAATAACCCTTTATAATGTTCACTCACTGAGATTTGGGGCAGTTTGCTTACTACAACAGCAAGCATTGATTAACTCAGTGACCTCTTAGCCTGCAAAATACTCTCCCCACTTTTCCACCCTCATCTCTACCACCATCGATTTTCACCTACTGTTCCTCTTTAAATGTTAGTATAAATTTCTCTTTCTCCACGACTCCTTTCCTCTCACAAGAGATCTCATACCTCTGTAATGAATTTACCTGTTCTATTCTGTTATAATGACTTGATTAAAGTTCTATATTCCTATATGGACTGTAAGCTCCAAAAGGGCAGAACTAAGTTGACCTTGTTGCCAGCTGTAACACCAGTGCTGACACAGTAGACCAGGTGCTTAACCGAAATTTGAGAGTGGATGAACAAACAGGGACTTGCCTTTCAGCTATTGTGAATGTCAATATGATTTTGCTCACTGGGGAAGGAAACTTTAATTGGACGTCTGAGAGACTGAATATAGGAATGGACAATGGCCAAGCTGTATATAAAAACAGAACTCTGATCCACAATCACAGCAGCTAGTCCAAGAAACCAACCCATTATCTATAGTAACCAGCCTATAAAGCCAGCCAGTTGATAAATCTGCAAGTTGAACTTGTAGGAAGCCAAATCTCTATCTCTAGCAACAGCCCAGGAAGCCAAACAATAACTTCTATAACAACTGGCCCTAAGTGCTCAGCACCTATTTAATAATTGATGGCTTCTCTAATTTTTGTCCCCACCTCCAACTTAGAACCAGAAAGAGAAATCAAACATGTGCTCAGAACAAATTCTGGAGAATGTCCCACTTCCAGTTAGCTCTCCTCTAGTTTCCCATGCAAACAGCCTCCAATCAGGGCATACTTGAAGTCTCCCTGGTTTCCACTCCAGTGCTTTCCCACTTCTCTGCTTACCTTTGAGCCTTGGCTAAAATGCAAGTGATGGTGGCTGACTCCCTTGTTACAGCAAGATCTGGTCAAAGAAGAAGAGCAGGACATATCAGATTCAACCTCTTGTAGCTCACATGGAGCTTGAGCAACAGCATCAGCACCACCCGGAAACTTGTTAGAGATGCAAATTCCCAGGCCTTCCTCCAGACCTACTGGATCAGAAACTCTGAGGGTGGGACCCAGAAATCTGTTTCAACAAGCCCTGCATATGATGCTGGTGTTAAAGTTTGGGAACCACAACAGTATCATCAAATGTGAGTTACCTTATGTTCCAAAGGCATTTATCCTTTGCGGTGTATTCATAAGTAGCATCAGAAGGTACCTTCCCCAGGTGAAGGGGGGAAGTCTATTCTCCCAGTTACTGCTACCAAGTGTCAGACAATCGCCATCTGAACAGTAGGGAAGGCACATGCCTTCCTCTGGCATTCCTGCCTTTTGCATAACACAGCAACTCCCTTTGAAACATGCTGCATGCATTTCCTTTAGTTCTTTTTCTGTGCCACCTGGTATTATGATCTGTTAGAAGACAAACACACTGATTTTGGCTGTGCCTAGTTACTAACTGTTCCTGAGAACCAGCCAAATTATTCTTATGACATGGCTTCCTTCCTACTGAATGTTTCTTTATATTTTTAGAGATTTCTGAGTATTGGTTTAACATGTAGAAATGGATGTCCTCTAAGCTAAAATCTTATTCTACAGAAACCAGGAAAACCTGATTGCAATTTCATAATAGCAGTTTCCAATGTTTATAGACTTTTCTCCAGGCTCAAATATATTAGTTACTAGTACTTGGGTTGAGATTTATGGTATAAAAGTCTTTGCCCTGTTACATAATAGGGTAGAAAGATGAAAAGGGGAATTTTCGCCTTCAAGGTTTAAATGTCTGAGTCCTGATTTAGAAGCTTTACTACACAATTTTTTCCAGAAGCATCACAGTGGTTTCAAGGCCTTGGGACCAGGGATAGATCTGGCTATGGGAGAATCTGAAGCTGAGACAATCTTGGGATACCACTTTTTAAAAAGGAATATGAAATTGGACACAGATGTGAAATCAGAATCACAAAATGCAAATCACAGGGAAATCAATCACAACATACAAACTTTTAAACACTGACAAGTATCATGAGCATCATAAAATCCAGGTGGAAATCATGTAAAACTAAATAAAATACAAAAATAAATAAGAATTCATTAAAGTCTCAACACATCTCAATAAGACTTTCCTTCCAACAGTTTTGGCTGCATATTCTTTGATCTCCTCTTCATATGGCAAAGATTTTAGAATATCATATACAAAATCAAAGATCTTTTCTCAAGCCCAGCTGACCAAATTTTTTAACTGGCAGTGTAGAAGACTATCAGCACAATTGCTATTGATATCATCTCAGTTTTTGTGGATCGTGGTCAAATTTGGGAAGATTTCTACCCAGTTTCCTTCACAAGAGTTTTATCATCCAAAAGAGTTTCCCAGAGTGGCTTCAGGACCCACAGCTTTTAGATGGTGCCTGTTCCCCACTCGTCACGTAGTGAGGGTGCCGGCTACCCTCCCATTGCAGTGCCATTCCCGAGTCTGCCCCTTCCACCTCTGCGCCAGAAGAGTAGCTGCGTGGGTCAGGGTGAGTTTCTAAAAGCCTCTTCTCCATGAAGACAGCCAGCCGTAACTCAAGAGCGCACAGTCTTCCAGGGCACAAACCAAGTAAGCTCATTCCACCAAATCCAAATGAGACACCTGCCTCCCCGACTCAACTTTCTTTTAGCTAATTCCCCCAAAATGCCCACAGCTGCTTGAAATCCTGCCATATTGTTGCCGCAGTGCGTACAGCTGGCGTTACAGCTCTTGTCACAGCTCTTACTCATTTGACGGGGGAAAGACCCGAGCAGCACACGAAGAGCTCAAGAACAACCTTTATTCTTCTACAGCAGGCTCAGCACACCTAGTGTTACAGCTCTCCTGTGTCTTCCAACTTTCTGACCCTTCCACCCTGCTTCTGCTCCTGCTTTTATACCCTTGGTAGGGCTCAAGAAACGTCCAATCAACTACAAGCCTTAGCATCCAATCAACAACAAGCTTTAACATCCAATCAACAACAAGCTTTAACATCCAATCAAAAACAGCGGGATTGAAAAATTACCCAATCAGGATCACCACAAGCAGCGTGGCTGGAAACAGGCAGCGGCTTGGGGACCTGGGGGCATTCCAGCAGGCAGGGTCCCGGCCTCCAAGCGGCTGCTCTCTGCCGTGGGCCCCAGCAGCGTGCCCTCCACCTGGCCACAGGCAGCGCCGGCTCGCGGAGATGCAGAGCTACCTGTCCGCATCCCGGCGCCCGCCATTTTCCGCATCGATATGAGGGAAGGTGCAAAGAGCCAGAAGTCAGAGTTCAGAGAGGCTGAAATATCCGGCATTTTCCCTGCAATGACACGTGCACCAGTCGTCCAGCTACTCAGGAAGCGGAGGCCCGAGGATCACTTGACTCCTGGGAGTTCTTGAGTTCGAGGCTAGCCTGGGCAATATAGCAAGACCGCATCTCAAAGAGAGATAAAAAATTAAAATAAATAAAATAAAATATCTGGTATTTGTAAATTTTACAGCATCTGACCTGGCAACGGGCCCTGAAGCTAATAAGCTCCCTCAGTGCATCCACCTCTGCTTCGGCGGCGCGAGAAGCGTGTTCGAGTCCTGATGCGCCCAGGCAGGGGCCCTTTAACTGACAGGGACGGGACAGAGGAGAGCAGAAGTGAGGGGAGGAGATGATGTAGAGAAGGTAATGGGAAAATGCGTGTGGCCTGAGGCTGGCGTGGGAAATAGGAGAAAAAGCACATTGATGAATATGAGCGTTGTGAAAAGGCGACTTCGCTGTCCCGCGCCAGCCCGCGGCACAGAGCGCATGCATCAGCCGGGCACGTTTGTCGTTAATGATTAACTTCTGCAAGAACAAATCGTTTGACCTCACCAGCTGAACAAACACAGAGCTGCGGTGACGGAAAGAGCCAGAGGCAATGCTTCAGCAAGGCTGAACCCATTTTTGTGGAAGCCCTGCCATTTTGTGTCACAGCCCTGGGGGAGCTTAGGTGCCTCTCTAGCTAGAGGGAGAGGACTCCCCCACCTGGGTCGTAGCTGCCATCCGCGAATGACACAGAGAGTGGCTTCAGATCGCAAAGGTTGATTTCGCTGCAGCTTTTGAAAACGTGCCCTAGGGCTTCTGAAAAGCAGAGTTTGATTTATGAAAAAGATTTCAATTTCTGGGATGTCGACAAAGAAACCGAATGAAGGTAGCAAAATGGTGCAAGGAGCCCTCCAGTCAATGTGCAAGTTTAAAATGACTCTGTGCATCTATCCTGAGTCCTCAGCCGGCAAAAATTATTCAAAATAGCTTTTAGCTAGAAGAGTTCATTGAGATACAGAATGCAAATTGTGCAGCCACATTAATTCCCAGTTTCCTTGTTCCAGGCGGCTTTGTACCAAAAGTAGATTTTTAAATAAGGACTAAGTATCCCTGTCTCCGGGGAATTCTTGTTTCATTGAGGTATAGCTTAGCAATGACTTCAACAAATAAAATGCAAATGAGAATGGAGAAAATTAATTAGAAACAAAGATCAGAATTTCTTTTCATTAACTCCTTAAAAGCCACTATCCCCCTCAAAAGAATATAAAACTAAAATGCAATTCACTGCTTGTTTTCTTTGCCCTGACCTTGCTAAACTAAAATTAATGATCTGGTTAGCCTGGAGACCATGTCTTAAAGGGCATTTTTCCCCTATTAAAGTAGAAGGTCAGAATTCTGTGCTGAAGCCTGCATCCAAATTGTGGTTATTATAAAACCAAAATGTTCTCCCTTTAGGCTTTCAGAAGCAAGCACGTACTGAACAATGAGCCCCAATGGATGGCTGATCTCTTTAAAAGAGGCATCAAATACATCATGATTCTTGTAATATGTAAAAGAATCATTCCAGCTTTACTTTAAATTAGACCCATATGGATACACACTCAGGGTCATCTACAGAAGCTTCAATTTAAAAGTCCTTGTTTTATCCTAAGTTTGGAAATGTTGAAAAACAAAGAAATAACTTATGAATAACCATTAAAAACAAAATTTATTTGTGTTTATAGCATCCTCACATTGTATTATTTACATGCAATGCAATCTGAAAAAATAAATCTTTTTAAAGTTTAAAAGAAAAGTGTGTTCATCACAGAATACTTGGAAAAGAAAGAAAAATAAAATGACCGAAATATTTACCAGCCAGATTCAACCATTTCTTCCAGTATTTTTGCTGATCATGCTTTTTACATATAAATGTAAATATATGGGTATTCAAAATTTTATATGCTGAATCAGTCTTTTCCTGATTATAAAAATAATACCTGCTTATTGAGGATTGTTTGAATGTTATAGAAAGTTATACATCCAAGGTGTTACCATCCAGAAATAACTTTTAACCAAGTTGGTATAATTCTTTACATTATTTTTTCTTTATTTTTAACCTGAACAAGTAAACATGTTTGCTTTCTTGTTTAAAAGATTTTTTAACAGAGAAGTGTAAGAAATAAAACATGAAGTGGACCTCTTCCTCCCCAGTCAATGTCTTCCATGCCTGCTTCATCTTTGTGGACATTTATGTAATTTTTTTTACTATAAACAATGATGTAATGAACATCTTTGTATATATGTTTGTGCACATATACAAGTATTCCTTTAGACAAACTCCAACATGTAGAATTCCTAGAGCAAAGGAATTTAATTGTGATAATTTGCCCTTCAAAAGACTTGCAATTCACATTCTGGTCAATAGTGTGAAAGCTTGTTCCTCTATATCCTTGCTGACAAATCAGAAACTGTAATTATAATTTTTACTCCCCTAATTACTAACAACGTTAAGCATTTTTGCATTTGTTTATTGGCCATTTGTATTTATTTGTTCATAAATTTCTTACTCATATCTATTCATTTGTTGTATTTTCTTATAGTTTTTTAGGAGCTTTTTATATTTTCTGGATATTAATAATTTTCTCCTCATCTGCCAACAGTCTTTTAACTTTTTATTATGTCATTTGTCATTAAAACATTTTTTAAATTTTCTATACAGTCAAGTCTATAAATCTTTTCCTTTGGGGCTTCCGAGTTTTATATCTTACTTCAGTTTTTCCCATACCCAAGATTGTCTTAAAATAAATAGAAGTATTTTCTGCTTCTACCTTCATGGTTCTGCTCTTGTGTCTTAGCTGTGTATTTATGTTTCTAGTATGAGATAAGAGCCTAATTTTGTCTTTTTCAAATAGCTTAGTGTCTCAACATTTTTTTTTCCCTGAGGCAGTCTCACTATGTTGCTCAGGCTGGTCTCAAACCCCTGGCCTCAAACAATCCACCCTTCTGGACCTCCCAAAGTGCTGGGTATACGCATAAGCCACTGAGCCTGGTCATTTTAATAAAATTGTCTAAATTTGTATTCTAACAGCATGCTTTGAATTACTCCAGC